TTTAAAACTGTAATAACTAAATACATTGTTGTAAGTGTTGCATCTGAAAGCTGAATTAATGATTTAAAACAATTATGGTTATAAATCTGATACATTATTTTTCCCATTCTGTTACCTAATTGTGTTTGACTGAATTTTTAAAAAAAACTTTTCTCATGTGGATTCCATAGCCCAGCTTTTCTTTGATAGGTGACTTATGAACTTTAGAAATACCTTTAATTTCTGTTACCTTTTAACAATTATGAGGTTACTAATTAAGGACTCGCTAAAATCAGATGTGTTAAGTCGAAAGGTGGAAATATCATTCTCTAGTTGTAAATCACAACACACATCCAACCACCATTTTAGGGATAAATAAAGAAGAAAGAGCAAGTTGAAAGTATAATTAACACAAGTCCTCAATATTAGTTATATATCAGTCAGAAAACTGGTATGAAATGTTTAGATCAGCGCTATGCAACTTGTGGCCTGAGGGACAAATCCAACCCACAGAGGCCTAGCAAGTGGCCAGAGGATCATTTGTCAATTGCATCTTACTATGCTGGGGCTTAGGCCTCGGCCTCTGGCCCTCGATGATCCATATCTTCAATATTTTGACTCCAAGTAAACTGAGTTCAATGGCCCTGGTTAAGATCATCCGATTCCAAAGTATATGTGTAGTCATTCTGACTGTCCCTAAGATGGATTTGGGAATTTAATCAGTGGTCTCTTCTTTCATCCGTAAGCAGAGAAAAAAAATGTGTGTCCTTTAAATATCTTGTAAGTGTAGATTTATTACTTCAGTCACCTCAGAATGGCATTGTCAGTGAAGATCTATTTATTCAGTCACCTCAGAATGGCATTGTCAGTGAAGATCTATTTATTCAGTCACCTGATAATGCCATTGACAGTGAAGATTTGTGATCTAAGTCACCCCAGAATGGCATTATCAGTGTATATTTTTTACTTCAGTCACCTCAGAATGGCATTGTCAGTGAAGATTTATTACTTCAGTCACCTCAGAATGGCATTGTCATTGAAGATTTATTACTTCAGTCACCTCAGAATGGCATTGTCAGTGAAGATCTATTTATTCAGTCACCTGATAATGCCATTGACAGTGAAGATTTGTGATCTAAGTCACCTCAGAATGGCATTATCAGTGTATATTTTTTACTTCAGTCACCTCAGAATGGCATTGTCAGTGAAGATTTATTACTTCAGTCACCTCAGAATGGCATTGTCATTGAAGATTTATTACTTCAGTCACCTCAGAATGGCATTGTCAGTGAAGATTTATTACTTCACTCACCTCAGAATGGCATTGTCAGTGAAGATTTATTACTTCAGTCACCTGATAATGCCATTGACAGTGAAGATTTGTGATCTAAGTCACCTCAGAATGGCATTGTTAGTGAAGATTTATTACTTCAGTCACCTCAGAATGGCATTGTCAGTAAAGATGTATTACTTCACCCACCTCAGAATGGCATTGTTAGTGTAGATTTATTACCTCAGTCACTTTAGAGTGGCATTATCAGTAAAGATCTATTACTTCAGTCACCTGATAACATCATTGTCAGTGAACATTTATTACTTCAATCACCTCACAATAGCAGGACCTGGCTGCGGTAAAGATTTATTACTTCAGGCCCTGATAAAAGTATCTATCATAGACTTACTTTGATATGTCTAAAAGCTATGCATCATATAATAATATAAGCCACGCCAGCTGATCGAAACTCAAACGATTAAACGATTAAGGTCATTAAAGCCCATTGCTCTAGACCAGTAACACGAAGACAGAGATGAGTTTAACCAAATTCTTCAGTTATGGGAACATTCTAAAATAAAGATGAGAGAAATTTAACAAATGTGTTTAATTTTAATAATAATATACAGAAATAATGGCCATATCGTTTTTAAAAAAAAAATAATAATAAACAGCAGCAAAATAAACAAAACAAATCTGCAGCATATTTGAAAAATGTACAGGCACTCTGAATCATTCAGTGGAAGATGTAACTTAAAAGATACAAATAGATCTATTAATTCATTTTGTTTAAAATTGTGTGTGGGTTTGTTCTGGTAATCCAAAATCTTATGTTGTGCAATATTGTTTCAGCGTGTACCAGAGACAGTCACACAAGAAAACTGGTCTTCAAGGGGGCTTAAACCTAATTTAAGTGATTAATAATAATAATAAATGGCAGAAAATATGCTAATATATTTGAAAGAAAAATAATTTTTAAAAATTGAAAATAAAACTATACATGGTCGGTAAAAAAGTGGATGGGCGGTATTTTACGCCTCATTCAAAAATTTGATTTTAGAGGCCTCAGATTATTTCTATAGCACATACAGATAGCTACAGTAATCAGGTGACCCTCATGCTTGCCTGCCTGGTAGTCTTGAGTTTGAATCCATTTCAAGGTGAGGATTCTCCCGCTTGGTTTGGGCTCTCACATATCTGACTGCTGGAGATTGGGAGGAAGGAGGGGGGGGGGGGGGGGGGGGGAGTTAGTGAGTCTGTATCTTGTTAACCTTAAACATGAAGCCACAGGAGAAGATGATGTTGAACATGATTTTTTTTTTGCAGTAACTTTTGCCACAACTGGAAATATATCCTTGCCTATTTTGCGCAAACATATTGTTCACAAGCTCTGACAATTATAAAAAAACAAGCCAGGAATGTCAATTTACAACTCGCAGAATTAAGAAAGGCAACAGTGATTAAAAAATAACATGCATTCCTGTCAGTAACTTACTAATACATTAGCTGTTTGAGGAAATTTAGTCACAGAGTATGTGTTTATATTTAAGTAAATAACCTTTTTTCTAACATGTAATGAACTCAGGCCCAGTTCCACTCAGCTACACAATTGTGAGTGACGAAGTCGGGCCAGGACACTGTGATTAGACGTTCATTCATGCGTGTTAACCTTTGAGATGTGTAAGTCGAACATATAACGAACTCAGGCCCAGCTACATACTTATGAGTGATGAAGGTGGGCTAAGACACTGTGATTGGATGTTCATTCATGCCTTTGGGACGCGAAGGTTTAAGTGGCAGGAATGTCAGGTTGGTGTGACGTTATATTGTCGTGACGGTCTTACTGGCGACCACGAGTGCTCTATATTATAGGATATGAGCGGTTTTAACGACTTCATAACATGTTCAACTGGCCCTAACCCTAACCCCCACCCTAGACACTGAACCTAGTTCCTACGAGAGAGTGTATTCTACACACCTTTACTGTAGACTAGCCTGACCAATCATCAATGACAGTTCAGCTAGTATGTAGCTCAGCGGAGCTGGGCCTGAGTTTGTTACTAGTCCCCCCACCCCCCCCTTTTTTTTTTACACCAGTGATGCTATCAGGCATATGGTAAGTAAAGTAAATGATCCTTATCCACACATTTAGGCATTTTAGGCTAGACCTATATTTTATATGGATGTGGTCAGTAGCACGCCGGCCGCCTTTACCTCCTAGTACCTTACCAGGTACCCATTTGAGGCTGATAGCCAGGGTCATTTTTTTTTAACCAGTCATGACCTGAACCCATGACCTTCTGATCTGCAGGTGAGTATCTAGCCGCTACACCACAGCTGGATCCTATCAGGCATATGATGCTAGACTTGTATTTTTACAGACCAGTTGGCACTTGGGTCGCCTTTACTTCCCAGGACATTTCATGGCACCCAAGTAGGTTGGATCAGTCTTGGAGATAATTTAGGTTTTGAAAAAGAAATCGAACCCAAGACTTTTGGGCCGGCAAGTGAGCATCTACCACCATGCTACCAAGTGACCCAGTAGCACGCTGTGTTATAGGACTGTGGTGAGGATGAAAAGGCAGAACAGAATAATAAATCTTATTCACAGTCAAAATTCTAAAACTATAATATGATATTTAGGCTGTAAAGTAAAGGACCCTTTTCTGCATCATCAGGTGTATTAGGCGTATAGGGCTAGACCAATATTTTATAGAGCAATCTGCATTCTGTGCGTGGTGTGGTCAGAGTGATGCCGGCCGCCTGTATTTCCTAGGAATTGTACCTGGTACCCACTCATTTCTGATAAAAGTCTGGCTCCGTCAGGACCCGAACCTACAACCTTTTGATCGGCAGACAAGCATCTAGCCACTACACCACGGCAGCTCTAGATATTTAAATGACAGCATTTGTAATATTTTGCCTGGAACTGAAAACAGCTATTAAGGAACATAACAGCATTGTACTCTCAAATGAAATAATGTATCTATAACAGCATCTGAATAATTGTTCACACAATACCCCCTTGTGGGTTCCAAGGCCCCATTTTAGAAGGGGAGGGGGGGGGACTGACCCACTGTCCCCTTAGAAGTGTGTTGCAAAAGGTAATTAGGAGTTTTCTGACTGAGTCCAGTGTGTTGGACCAAAAGGCATGGATATCTCTCTGTATGTGTGTGTGTGTGTCTATATATATATATATATATAGCAGAGTCAGTTCATATATGTTAGGTCAAAAATGTAACAGCTTTTTGTATCTTATGCCTAAATTAGAATGATTTTGTTTAACAAGTACATTCATTTAAAAAACAGTCATACAGGGCATCAAATTAACTCAAAATATCATTTCAAAATCAAAACTACACTGCTGTGAAAGGGGAATATATTTGTCCAAATAGCAGTTATGTGACTTTTTCAACCACTAATAATTTATATAAAGGAAAAATGCAGTGGTGGCCAAAACAGATTTTGAAAACAAAAACATTCCATAGTCTATCAGTGTGTGGGTGGTGGTGTATGCATCCCCCCCCCCCCCCCTCTTTGCAATGTCCGTGGTTGCAAACTATTCATGATCTAGCAACTATGATTACTATGACCAGCCTCCTGGCAATATGATTCAAAACTCCACACTTGGTTATGTTTAGGTACTGAAATTAAAAGTCTTGAACAATAGAAACAGTGACAGACACCATAAAAATAGTATTTTTTAATTAACACTTAACAAAGCCATGAACAGGCACTGTAACCTTCCTTAAACTATGCTCTCATTTTTGTGCTCCAAAACATCCTTCATCAGTATGTAGTCTTTGAGAGCTCTGGGCACAGGAAGTGCCTCAACCTTTTCCCAGATATTGTGGCCAGCATGGCGGCGAATGACTTTCCGGCACAGCTGCTGTAGAGGCACTACACGTCTCAGGGCAGTCCTTAACCACATCAAGGCTTCATCCTGCTCCCCAGGACGCGCTTGAACATATCCAGCATAGAAAAACATCCTAGCGGAGTAATCCACGTGACCAACCGTTGCTAGAAGACGACACAACTTGTAATGTCCCCGCTCCGCGGCCAATTTGAACACTGACTTATAGACTCCATTAGGGAAGTATTTGACAGGTGCATCAAGGTCGATGTTGTAAACAAGCAAAAGCCATGTAATATCCATCTTATTTCCAGCTATTGCGTCGTGTATTGCAGTCTCTCCCTGGTGGTTGTAGACGTCATGTCGACTCCCGGCTGCCAGCAGCAACTCTACTACACGTGTGTAATTTCTCTTGATGGCAATATGCAAGGCAGTATCGCCTGTTTTGAACTCCCTACGGTTGACATCACAGCTGGCGCTCAATAACAGCTGAACAACCTCTTTGTGATTATAGCAGACGGCCTCCATTAAGGGACTTCTACCCCAGTAGTTTTGAACATTAATCAAACTGCCAGCAGACAATAAGATATCAATAATGTCAACACAGCCATTTCTTGCTGCGTAATGCAAGGCCATGTCGCAGTTTCGATCCGTGATGTTTAAATCCGCGCTGGCTCGCAGAAGACGCAGCACAGCATCTGTTTTGTTATTTCTGACCGCTTTCATGAGAGGCGTCTTTGATGTGATGTCCTGACTGTTGACATTTACTCCACGGCGGATTAGCACGTCGAGAATCTGGCAGTAACCGTCGTCTGCCGCGTAATGGCAAGGCGAATTTCCAAACGTGTCCTTTGCGTCGAGTTTGGCTCCCGCGGCTATCAAAAGCAGCATGCAGGCCATTTTATGACTCTGAACGGCAAAGTGCAAGGCTGTACGTCGTAGTGTGCCTGTGGTATGGTTGACATCACATTTGGCCTCAATAAGGTATTGCAGCATGTAGGTGTGGCCTCTGTAAGAGGCAAGATGTATTGGGCACAGACCCGCGTCATTCTTCCGTCTGACTTCTAAGAATTTTCCATTCAAGTCGAGTTTGTGCTGGGCCACAAGGCGCTTGAGTTGCTGCAGGTCGTTATTGAGTACAGCATCATAAAACTCAAGACCCGCCATTTGTGTACGTAACAACATGGAGGCGATAATAATAGCTGCCCTTCATTCGGGGCATACATAAGCTCAGAATTTTTTCCTTGCCTTAACGGCAACTTTTGCGAAATTACACTCCCTCTGAGAAAATAACAATCCCTCGGTTAAATGTAAGCATAAAATCTCGCATCAAACGTCAGTAAACACATATTCTGCCTAAAGAAAGTGAAAGACCTCATCATATAACCCCAGTGTTAGACCAAAACATCGCTCACTCAAGCCAAGACATTTGCCTCAATGACGTCAGTGGTGAGTACACGGTGAAGCAGGATGGCGGCACACGCGGAATCTTGGTAATGTGCAGCCAAGCATTTTTTATGATAATGATGTTGATGGGAGTGTGTTGAAAGGTTGGGCATGCACGGTAATATGTTGCTTCCCCGGGCGCTAGCAATGAATGGATCGATATTGTGCTATTTTAGATAGTTGCTCAGTGTCTATTTTGGGGAATAATTAAATTGAAAATAGCTACCTCGGTCTCTTGATAATTACACTGTATTGCCTTAAATCTTGTAATTCGCCGATTGTGTTGTAGTTTAATCTGGTTGTGTAACACACGTATTACAGCTGTATGCCTATATATTTGTGTTTTACTGTAAACTTGTGTCTATCTACGTGCATATCGTTTATCTATTCCTCTTCAGACTTTCATCGTCTAATGAAGCATAGGCCCTCAACCAGCTCCCGTCACGCCTTTTGCAGACTCGTCCATGATTGGTTGGGTTGGTGGATTACGCGATTCCACGTGTAGGTCCCATTATCGTTGGGGGTTAAAAAAAAAAAACCACTCTACCGTTAAAAAGAATGTAGTAAATGGCGACTAATTTAGGTTTTCTGAAATTGAATTTATTGAATCAGGTGCCGTCTCCACAATGAATGGTGTCTACAGTGGATGTCCAACACTGTTTCTTGTTTTGGTTGTGCACTCTCTCAGACTGCTCTTCGTCCGTCTATTGATGTTGCCCCCCATTTGTATCGTTGTCTATCTTACGCTGTATTGTGAGTGTGGGCTATCCTCCGACTAACGGTCGGTAAAGATGGCGGCCGCAAAATATCCTTTCGAGCCACAGTCACGATACTGGCGAGTGAGAGGCCGAACGGTTAGAATGCTGGGCTCTCAAGCAGGAGACCTGGGTTCGAATCCTCGGTAAGGCCGGGGATTTTTTTCTGTCAGAGGCAAAATAAAAGTCGTGGCGACAGAACTAGCCATGCGGTCGTAAATCCTTAGGCTCAAAGACCCCCTGCCTACACCGCAGAAGTGGTATAAAAAAGGCAGTTTTGTGGGCACTATGATACTGGCTTTGTAAATCCTGGACAATCGGTAGGCAGGCCAAACAATTTCTGGAGGCCTCGGAGATGTGGTTTTACAGAAGAATGCTTAGAATACTTTGGACAGCCAAAAAGAGCAACCAAGAGGTTTTGAAAGAGGCGGGAGCCCGAAGACAACTTATCCCAGACATCAGATGTAGACAGTCATCATTTTTCGGCCATGTTATGAGAAGAGGGAAAATAGAACATGTTGTGACCACTGGAAAGATCTGTGGAAGGAGAGATAGAGGAAGACAATGAGAGAAGATGCTTGACAGTCTTGTTGCACGGCATGGAGGTATGTCGTCACACGAACTGATACATACTGCAGGAGATCGCAGATTATGGAGAGGCATGATCGCCCACAGTAGTCGGCTAGGCACCTGATGACGATGATGATGCTGGCTTTGCTGGGATGTTGTCTATGTAATTTTTCACAAGGGACAGTGATGAACATTCTGTGTGGTTTTTGTTGGCACAGGATCAGAGCAACTGTAATGTGACACTTTTGCTATGAAGTTGGAATTACGTTTATCTGATTTTGTTGCCAGTGTTTTATCTACAATCACCTCTTCTGAGGCTGGTGATTCTAACTAAACAAAACAACCATACTATCATAAAACAATGTCCAGTTCAACGGACACCCTACTTCTTTTTCTTCATTCACCCTCAGAAGGAAGTTGTGTTGATACAGCTAGGTTGTGGTGTCTGTGGTTTTTGGCCTAACAAATCAGTTTCAGCAAAGAATTAGTTGCCTTCTACAACATACTTGTTATGGGGCAAGAGGTCAATCTACAACATACCTGTTATGGGGCAAGAGATCAATCTACAACATACTTGTTATGGGGCAAGAGATCAATCTACAACATACTTGTTATGGGGCAAGAGATCAATCTACAACATACTTGTTATGGGGCAAGAGGTCAATCTACAACATACTTGTTATGGGGCAAGAGATCAATCTACAACATACCTGTTATGGGGCAAGAGATCAATCTACAACATACTTGTTATGGGGCAAGAGGTCAATCTACAACATACTTGTTATGGGGCAAGAGATCAATCTACAACATACTTGTTATGGGGCAAGAGATCAATCTACAACATACCTGTTATGGGGCAAGAGGTCAATCTACAACATACTTGTTATGGGGCAAGAGATCAATCTACAACATACCTGTTATGGGGCAAGAGATCAATCTACAACATACTTGTTATGGGGCAAGAGATCAATCTACAACATACTTGTTATGGGGCAAGAGATCAATCTACAACATACTTGTTATGGGGCAAGAGATCAATCTACAACATACCTGTTATGGGGCAAGAGATCAATCTACAACATACTTGTTATGGGGCAAGAGGTCAATCTACAACATACTTGTTATGGGGCAAGAGATCAATCTACAACATACTTGTTATGGGGCAAGAGATCAATCTACAACATACCTGTTATGGGGCAAGAGATCAATCTACAACATACTTGTTATGGGGCAAGAGATCAATCTACAACATACCTGTTATGGGGCAAGAGATCAATCTACAACATACTTGTTATGGGGCAAGAGATCAATCTACAACATACCTGTTATGGGGCAAGAGGTCAATCTACAACATACCTGTTATGGGGCAAGAGATCAATCTACAACATACTTGTTATGGGGCAAGAGATCAATCTACAACATACCTGTTATGGGGCAAGAGATCAATCTACAACATACTTGTTATGGGGCAAGAGGTCAATCTACAACATACTTGTTATGGGGCAAGAGATCAATCTACAACATACCTGTTATAGGGCAAGAGATCAATTCTGCCCACTCCCTCCCACAAAAGGGGCCCTGGAGCCCACGCAGGAAAGACTATTATTTTGTTGTTTTATTTTGCATACTTACTTGCAAAAACAGAGACTAATCAAATCAATTACGATAAGACTAAGAGGGTAACAATAGCCCTAAAAGCAAACAAGACAACTGGACAATATATATGTTAACTGTAAGCAGTGATTAATTTTATGCTGCAAGTTGTAGTCAGCCTTGTTCAACACATTTCTATGCAATCTTATGGGGAAAAAACATACGCGCCCCCCCCCCCAAAAAAAAAATGCTTATAAAAAGGCTGTGTGGCTTGTTCTTTTCTGTGGGTAATTGAAAAAAAAAAAAATACAGATCTTTACTTACATCCCGGTTTTGCTCCAACTAATTGGCCGTAAGTCAAATTTATATTTTCAACATAATTTACATTCAAAAATGTTTTAAAAGTTGTACACACACACACAAAAAACATGCAATCTTTATTTGTATAATTGTTGTACATAGGCTCTATGTATACTCTAGGCATCAATTCCAGTGACTTTTCACCCTACCAATGTAATCTTTATTTATTTACTACTTGTGTGCATTAACTTTTGTGTGGTCACATAGATCATAAGTCGAGGGAGAAGGTGTATGTCTGTAATAAATAAATAATGGCAGACATTGCATGCAACAAAAAAGACTGACTCAAGAAGGGAAAGGGTTACGAATGCCAGCATTAGAGAGAGAAAGTGGAAACAAGACTGAACTTACATTGACAGAGTGAAATGGTTTGGCCATCTACTGAGACTGCAGCCAGGCCAAATTGCATATGAGATATGCAATAAGCTTGTTCACACTCAGCTGTGCTTGCAATAAGTCATGTTCTGACCTTGGGCTAGTTGTCTAGGAGATGATGTGTCTAGTGAATGATCTTAGCACACATTCTTCAGATGACATAACTGGGATAAGCCGACACCGACTTCGAAGTACGATACAGTTTATTGACATCTCATCCCTTACATATATTGTCCCGTCCATGTCCTAATCCACAGCTTACATGCACCACATTGTTCAGACGCCAACACACTGACTTCTCACACATTCATCGACCAGAGTTCGGCGCCTTCAGTTCCACATCGACGCATAGATGGATCTGGTCATTGCATCAAGCTTCACACAACTTGGCTTGGCTGGACTTGGCTTCGATGGATGTTGTCTTCTGGTCTTCCTCTCAGTTTCACGTTCTCATTCTCACGAACACTCTCACGTCCTCTCGTTCTGACGGTCAACACATACTCACTTGACCAGACTGGGGTCTGAACTTATACCCGGTGATAGGGTATAAGATCAGACCCCAGTGTTCGTTCCACGTGGTTGTTCTTGGGTTCCACATGATAACTCATGGTCGTCCCCTATCTTGAAAACCTCTGTTAATCCGAGTATCTGGCTTCTCTCAGTATTCTTGTTAACCTTGGGCTTTCTCCCCAACCTTCCTAATCAGAGTGAAAATATCCCCCATTACAAGATATATGTAAAAGATTACAACAGAATATCTGGAAGGAAGACCGAGAAAGAGATGGGTAAATGGTGTAGCTGAAAGCTACTGTGGTACAGTGCAGACCTGATAAGGACTCATCAGGACCCAAGAAATGGTTCTTATCAGAAATTGCTCTTATCCAGATAAGAATTCAAGCAAGAAAAATTGCTGGGGATAAAGAAATTGTTCTTCACAACATAAATTATTCATATCCAAGACCCCCTTTAGGCGGACTGCACTGTATTATGTTTCGTAAGGCCTAGGAAATGTGGTTTTACAGAAGAATCCTTGAGTTTCTTGGACAACAACAAAAACCAACCCAGATGTTTTGAAAGAGGTTGGCCTTGAAAACAACTTATCACAGAGACAGTCATTTTTTTGGGGGGTCAAATTATAAAAAGAGGGAAACTAGTTATGAGAAGAGGAAAAGTATTTACAAGAAGAGGGAAACCAGAACATGCTATAACCACTGAAAAGATAGAAGACAACAGCATGAGAAGATTCTGACAGCCCATTGTCATAGCAAGGAGAAGTGTGAACACATGAACTGCAGTTTGTGGAGAGGTATGCACGCCCACACCAGCCGGCAAGGCACTTGATGACTATTATGGAGCAGACTTGTTCTAGTTCTTGTCTAGACTAATATTTTTAATGACATTTTACAATCAACGCACTATGTGCGATTGGCTATGTTGTTATAAATCGACGCCGCTGCGCATTTGGCATTTCTTCTGTTGATCTAAAAGTTTGTCCCCCTACAGGCAGCTTGTCCTGTTGTGTATTTGTGTGCGTCTTGGTATACGTGTGGTGTCTGTGTGTGCACTTCTAGGTATTTGTAGGTCTGCTTCGCTCATGTGTCTAATTTGCATGTATTTTTTTAAAGTTCTGCATTAGTCTTCCATATTTTTGCAAATTTATTTTACATTTTTCCTACGAATTTTGATACTTGAACATAATATGCTTAATCTATATATAATATAATTGCCGTGTGAAAGAGGAGTATTTAAAAAGGGCGAGTGAAAGATGGGCCTGCATGACTAATTCGTAACCCTTTAGAAATAAAGTTTGTTTATATCAGAGGCTTACCACCCTGAAATGAGATATAAGAGCACCCCCTCTCCCCCCCCCCCCCCAATCTAGATAGCAAACCCAGTTCAATGTCCAAAGAAGTTATAATTAAGGACGCCATAAAGCAGGGCTATTTAACCAGATTTACCCAGGGATCGTCATGGGCCAGATGCTTGAGCCCCAGAGTATAAAAATTATTAATACAACTGGCAGTGATTCGCGGGCCACTTGCTAGGCCTCTGCAGGTCAAGTGCAGCCCGCCAGTTGAATAGCCCTGCCGTAAAGGCTACATCAGTGCAGCCTGCAGTCTTGTGCAGGTAGGGACTGTTAGCATTCCTCTGGTCAGCAGCTATCTAAAGGTACCTCTTCTTGATTGTTTTCATGAAAGTTTTGGTTATACTGTCTCTTGTCTTGGCCTCAACGATGGCATAGATATGCTTCATCAGTTTTACATCCAGGACATATAATCAGGCTGGTGTTTGGCTATCTTTCATGTGCACTCATCTTTATGCCGCTGCTATCAGTACATACCAATCATCAAATAACATCTTCTTCTTACATCAAGTCAGAACACACTAAAGAAATCTGACGACATTGCTGTATTATTATTTTTATTCACAGGTTGTTTATGTATCCTCTGTTAAAGTAATACAGCAAATGATAATCTGCACCGTTATTTCACCCATAGATCAGTTGCTCTGTCCTATATAATATACCAATCCTATATAATAAACCAACTACAGACAACACATCAACAGTCACTACACTGTTGTTGCGTATCCTTCACAGAACGTTGCAGAACCAACCCCAGCAGCCCCTGGCTGTTGTGTGGTTTCTCTAGGCAAATTTACGCCCAGTAGTTTGCCATTTCTTTCTGGGCGGTCAGCCACCTGATACCACTGTCGAAACCAACGCAAGGCGTATGGCCCACAGCTGGGATCGAACCCAGCACCCCGGCATTACGAAGTGTTCGCCATCGACTTAGCCACAGAGCCGACTACTACACTGTAAACACATCAAATATCTGTTCAATAACAAACCAAATCATGTGGTTTCCATGCTAATTCTTTTTTTCCAGTGTGATTACAGCTGTTAAATTAAGAGCATGACTCTTTTCAGTCTAATCTCTCTGCATACACACACACACACATATATATATAGTCTGTCTGTTTAAATAGTTAGTTGCATATTCTTTTACAGGAAGTTGCAGAACCAACCCCAGCATTTTTTGGCTGTTGTAGTTTTTCTAGGCACGTTTACATCCAGTAGTTAGCCGCTGCTTTCTAAACGGTCGGCCTCTCGATACCACTGTCAAAACCAACGCTAGGCCCGAAGCTGGGATCGAACTTGGCACCCCAGCATTACGAAGCGTGTTCGCAACGCCTAAGAGACCCACTGCCACCCTAAGAAGCATGTCAAAAAGGTCGAAACAGGTGTCTCCTTCAAAATCAAAGTGTCTCCCTATAAGGTGAGAAAACAACAGTCTGCACATCAGGCCAAATCTGTGAAACAGATATGCATGCAAAACCCACGTTCTTGAATAAGATTAAAGCCTGGAAAATGAAGAAAAACCAGAACTTTCCATTAGAGTTTACAATTGGTGAACGCAAGAAGCTGCTGCTGCTCAGCTAACAGATCTAACTGATCAAATATTTGGGCAGAACATATTCTTTCCAGGGGTTTCACTTTCACACGTGTTACACAATCATTGTATAGTCTCTGAAGTATAGTTTTCTGATAACAAACTACTACCTGAGATCATAAATAAAATTCTGCTAGTTTTAACGAATGCTTACAGGAATACCCTGTGTGGATTCCTACGCCACAAGTGAGAGGGAGAACAGACTTGCAGCCCCTGAACAAGCATCTTGTAAAAGGCGACTAATTAAAGTTTTGCTGAAATCGGATGTGTTGGGCTGAAAGGTGTATATATTGCAGCCGAGGTCTAAACCACACCACACCGTCATTTTAAAGGCATACACAGAAGAATATACTAGAATATTTCAGGCCTAGTCAAGCATCATGATTTAAACTTAACTTAGACAAATTTCCTATTTTCTTTTTTTTTCTCTCCAGAAAAACAATGCACAATATATTTTTGCCTTCGTGTGAATTCCTGGAAAGGCAATCAATGTGCCGTTTGTTTTACTCCCAGTAAATAGGCTAGAATTTGTCTTTATAAAAATAACAGAAACATTCAATCAGAAAGCTTTTGTGGTTAACTTTAACAAAACTTGTATTAAAAAAATTGAATCTATGACTGGACAGCGCTGATGAAAGAACAGATAACAAGAACTAAAGTAAGCAATTCGCAGGGTGTGTTGATAACAGCAGCTGCCAGGTCCTTTGTACAGCCCTGTGGTCCTAAACTGCAGTCCATTTGGACAGAACGAGTAGCCCTGGGGTCCTAAACTGTAGTCCATTTGGACAGAACGAGCAGCCCCGGGGTCCTAAAATTGCAGTCCATTTGGACAGAATGAGTAGCCCTGGGGTCCTAAACTGTAGACCATTTGGGCAGAACTAGCAGCCCTCTGGTCCTAAACTGTAGTCCATTTGGATGGAACGAGCAGCCCTGGGGTCCTAAAATTGCAGTCCATTTGGACAGAATGAGTAGCCCTGGGGTCCTAAACTGTAGTCCATTTGGGCAGAACTAGTAGCCCTCTGGTCCTAAACTGTAGTATATTTGGACAGAACGAGCAGCCCTGGGGTCCTAACCTGTAGTTCATTTGGACAGAACGGGTAGCCCCGGGGGTACTAAATCCTCAGATTTCCCCTGCTTCATTTCTATACTCGTGGAATACCTTGCGGCATCAGGACAGGAAGAGGTATCTGGAACAGGCCCTTCGGTTCAGTTATGAAGTACTTTTCAGTGTCTCTGATATTTCTACAGTCCATGTTCTGGTTGATCAACCTCTGGTTCTGTTACTACTATATTTGTACAACACTGCTCTCTGTGATCTTGTTACATGGCCAAACCATTTAATTTGTTGTCTACTGATAAAGTTCCGTACCTACTCTCCTCCTAATTTCTTACATTAAAACCAATCTTTCCAAGCTGCACATAGCCTTCACAGTAAGTGAGAAATACAGGCAGTAACAGCAGTTTTTGTTTGAGGTAAAATTCACATGCTAGACATCTGCCTAAAAGCTGGTGCTTTCCTGGGAAGTAAAGGCAGATAGCATTGTGTTGATCACATCATCTATCGAGTGCTGATGGGTTATAAAAATATGAGCCAAGCATCATGTGCCACAGGCATGGAAAAAGTCTTTACTATACCATTACATTCACAAGCAATTCAAGTCTTACAGAAAAGAAACAATACAATATCTTATCATTCAGTGTACACAACAAATAATTAAGACCTCAGAGGATTCAAAGCAAAGAACATACACATTTCATGCTATATACATCAAAACATAAATATAAATTCACAAATTTATAGGTTATGCACATACTTCTGGCCGTTTTGTGTGTGGTTAATACAAGCACACCATATGTGCCTGCCAAAACAGAACTGGTGGGATACCCAATATGGCAACCCAACACCAGCCTTTTACTGCAGTATTCTGTTATGCCAGATTCTAAGGTGGCCAAAGCATAAATCACTACCAAAGTATTTTTACACTTATTCCTGGTCCCCAACTAATAATGAATAGTCTAATGAATCCAGGAAAGTATCATCTTCCCTTTCTTTGCCCTCTTCCACTTCTTCTGCTTCTTCCACTTCTTCTGCTTCTTCAACTTCTTCTGCTTCTTCAACTTCTTCTGCTTCTTCAACTTCTTCTGCTTCTTCAACTTCTTCTTCTTCCTGTTTTATATTTTTGTCTGCTACTTTAATCTCTAAGTACTCCACATTATCCTTAATTTCATTATAATTCTCTCCCTGTTCTTTGTCAACTGCTGCCTCTTCTCCATCCGATAAGTCAAAACTATCCTCAGTTAATGCCGAATTCTTGTCCTCTTCTGTCTCGCTTGTGGATTCTGTAGTTGTTCTTCCAGACAAAGAGCTCTTCTGTGAGCAATCACCCCTAGAAACAGACAAAGTTAATCTCTTCTACATATATTCAGTGACAAAGTTCATCTCTTCTAGAAACAGTCAGTGACAAAGAAGTTTATCACTTACCATTTTCCTAAATATTCCCTGACAAATCAGTTTATCCCTTCTACAAGCACTCAAATGAAAATCAGTTTAAGTACTCAGTGATAAATCAGCTTATCCCTTCAGGTACTCACGGATAGATCAAGTTTATCCCTTCAAGTACTCACTGACAGATCAAGTTTATCCCTCCTACAAGTACTCACTGACAAATCAGTTTATCCATTCTACAAGAACTCTGTGATAAATCAGTTTATCCCTTTAAGTACTCACTGACTGATCCCGTTTATCCCTCCTACAAGTACACACTGACTGATCCCGTTTATCCCTTCTACAAGTACTCACTGAGAAACCAGCTTATAAATCAGGGATAAACTGATTTGTCACTGAGTACCTGTAGAGGGGATAAACTGATTTGTTTTTCTTTACTGATTAATGTCCACATTTGACACTGGTAACACAAATTATTTTTATTTTATTTTGGAGTGAATAGTTCTCTTTTGTTGTCAATTGTTACATGTTTGTTCAGCAAAACTGGTCACATATGTCCAATAATTTGATTTGCTCTTCTACATCTGTGTACCACCTCTGCTTCCATTTTTTTCACTGGATGATATTATTCTTCCTATATATTTGTTATATTTTACCTACTTGATCTGGGGGTTTTCTATGCATTTCTTGATGGGTTGTTCTGTTCTTGCAATGGTAATACCTACAATACAAACTCACTGTATCAAATAATTCCTTACACACAAACCAATTTTACTATCTTCTTCTTCTTTTCCACCTTGTACCCCATTGAAGTGTCGGGGGGAGATGTCATGTACGTTGATGAGCTCTGTCAAGAGCACTATTAAGACTGATGATTTTACTGATATAACCATCTTATTTACAGAAAAAAAAGTACATGTGAAACAAAAGACTGTACATACCCAACATCTGTAGCCCCATAATTAGCAGCCCAAGCATGGAGGTTGAGTTTCCACTTCTTCACCTGAGCATCCCAAGATCTGCGACTGCAGTTAACAAATTTATCTGGCGTTCGCGGGTGGAATTTTCTGTCCCCTCTCCGCCTGCCTCTGAAATGGATGGTACATGACTTATATGCCTTAAATGAAAGAGGGAATAAACATGAGTGGTAACAGAGTTCCCCCTGTGGGTTCGGAGACCCACTGTGGTGGCTGTGGGGAGAGGCATATAGTACAAAGAACAGACCACTGCCTCCCAACAAGCATGTCCTAAGTGTTGACTAATTAGGGGTTTCCTTCAAGATCAGAGTGCATCTGCCTGACATGATGGTACATGACTTATATGCCTTAAATGAAAGAGGGAATAAACATGAGTGGTAACAGAGTTCCCCCTGTGGGTTCGGAGACCCACTGTGGTGGCTGTGGGGAGAGGCATAGAGTACAAAGAACAGACCACTGCCTCCCAACAAGCATGTCCTAAGTGTTGACTAATTAGGGGTTTCCTTCAAGATCAGAGTGCATCTGCCTGACAGGCAAGGAACCAACAGTCTGCATACTACAACAAAAGCCAGATCTGCAAAACAGATGTGCCTGCAAAACTCAAGCTCTGGAACAAGCCTAAAGTTCAGAGGTGGATGAACAATGAGAACTTTCCACCAGTTTACAGCTGGTGAAGGCGAAGAGGAACAGGAAGAACAGGTAACAGTTGTTTAAACTGATCCCCTTGTCCACAAGTACTGAATATTTCTTTTGTGTTGTTCATAAAAAAATCTATTTGAATTCTTATTCTGTTAGGTCTGTTTCTGTCAGGTTTTACAGCACCTGTTTAACTATAAACACCTTACAATAAATTTCTTGGTCCTTCCAACAATAATCAAATGTTCTTGTTCTTGACAGGTAGGACAGAACTGATATACTAATCCTATGTATCTGAATGACTAATTTATTTCTGTCCCAAAGTGTTTCTGTTGAATTCCCTTAGTCCTATTTATTGTTATAAACTCAACTTTGAGTGAAGTTGAGTGCTGATATCACAGCACATTAACACAAATGCTCCATTTCCATCTTCATCAGCCGACAATTACAATCTCGACAATACCACTAGCTCAACTTTAAAAAAAAAAAAAGTTTGAAATAACAAGAGTTTGGGAGTGAAAGAGTTAACAGGTATATTTTTCATCATCTTGTAACACTGAATGTCGCTGGGTTGCCAGTTGCTGTTGATCCGCTCCCTCTACCTCTGACGGTCAGATGCAATGGTTTCCGTGGTTTCATGCCTAAGTCCTGTCCAGTCAGTCAAGTATTGTATCCAGGTCCTTCCTAGTCTGCCTCTTCTCCTCTACTGAGCCCTGTAGTATTATTTTTGACAGGCCGTTAGATCGTATTACATGACCATACTACTGCATTTTTTCCCCCACTGTATATTAGCTGTTTCATTTTCCATGAGGTCACACTGACCAAGAATCTATTGCTGTACTGGAGGAACAGGATGCTAAGAAGATACTGCTCTTCCTGCTACAGAGATGTTTTTGCTTTTATTTTGGACAGGCATGTCAAACTGAGGGTCCCCTGAGGGCCCTATGGTCCCATCTGTGTTGTCATGAGGGCCACACACCATAACTAACTGTAGTCAGTGAATAAAATATATTGCATGTAAACAGCTGAATGCCACATGCCTGATGTAGGAGGTGTTTCAGAATCCGTTTTACTTTTTAAATAAATGAGCTCATGGGTGAGGGTTGGGATGGTGTTACCTGAGCATTTTTTGGCTTGAGGGGTGATAAATCTTTTCATTAACAGGCAGGCCCCGAGCTTATTCTAACCTATACATAAGCTGGGTGCTCCATTGATAAAAACTTGGTGAGGCTAGAGTCTCAATCAGAAGTTTACTAGAAAGAAAGATGTTTAAAAGAAACAGGATTAACTTCCTTGCACCAGGTTTTATTCTATATAGCACAGGTCACCAAGGCAGTTGTGAGCTATGAAAAAAGGGGTAGGGGCTCTGTTTTTGATGCTATTTAACTTACCTTCTTAAAAGGCTTATTTTTGAAGTATGGGGGTCATGATCCACTCTGCTTTTGAAATATGAGGTCATGACTCAAAGACGGGTGGGAGCCCACTGCTATATGGCTTGATGTCTCACCACAGAGAGGCTGGTTAGACGCATTGAGTGTGTGCAAAGCACATGGACTACATAATTCCAGAGATGGTCCCCTTCCCTAAGACTCTGAGCCAATAGTGCCCTAGCAAAAAGAAGCATGGAGCCTCAAACTAAGCCCCCCAACTGTCAGAACACGAGGCAAACAGCACAACTACTTATAAAGGACAAACAGTATCTTTCATGGCTATCTAGCAATCCTGAATGTGATTGTGTGCATGCAAGATACATTTTTATAGGCAGGCACTGGACTTAGACTGAAACATATCTTTTAAGAAATATGTTGTTAAAAAAAGTATCATCATTACCTACAGAAAAATGTCAAAATCAGGAGGAAAAATGCAAAAATTCATTTCATCTAGTTCCACAACAAACAGCTGAAATAAGAGAAGAATCTAAAACCAATTAATACTTACTTGGGCACAATTTGAACATATTTTTTATAGTCATCTGTATTCTTTCCATAAGCAATGTCTTTTTCTCTTCTTGCCAACTTGACTCGGTCTCTAAGGAAAAGATTAACATGGATAAACTACTGAAATGTTCACATTAAAAAAAACGGCTGTGTTTTTCTCTTCCCATGTAAATACCTGTTCATTTTTTTTTTTAGTAAGGAACAGGTGACTGTAGGATCAAGAACACAGTATTGTCCCATTATGAAAAACGAATAATTCTTTGTTAAAGACAGGTAATTTTCTTAATCCACTGTAGCAGCACCTTTAAAAAAAAAAAAAAAACAGCCACAAAACCCTTTTGAGAGAGAGAGAAAAAAGCCTAGAGCATAGAAAGTCCCAAACATCATTTAAAAACAAAAACCATCAGGTTACTAATAATAAGAGCTGTACCGAATAGGGATTTTCACTATTTGGCCGAATACGAATAACGGGACCAACTTTTCTGCCGAATACAAATACGAATAGTGTATAAAATATATTAAAAAAAAAAAAAAAACATTCATAATGTAAAATGTACGCTGAAATTTTACTGCACATAAAGTAGCACAGAATAGTCATCTTCTTCTTTAGCATTCTAAGCCCTTGAGATTGACTGCTGCAGATATCACTCGTCTCCATTCATCTCTCTGGTTGGTCTTCTCTTCACAATTTGTGACACCAGTTGTTTGCAGGTCTGGCTGGACGTTATCTCTCAAACTTCTTATTTGTCTGCCTCGTGGTCTAAGCCCATTTTTCTCTCAGGTGTATACAGTTTTACTTCTCTGTCATCTGCACTCTTTCAATATGCCCCAACCATTTTAGTCTGTTAGCTCTCATGATGCCAGTGATCAATGGTGACTTAGAGAGATTATGTGTTACGTTGTTGCTTCTCACTCTCCATTCCCCATTCTTTGATGGGTCCAAAGATGTTTTTGAAAACCTGTAATAAGGTCTCATCTCTTTTATTTCTGCTTCAGTTTCAGAGCCATATAAAATGGCTGGTCTTATCAACATTTTATATATTTTGATCTTGGTGTTGCGAGACAGACACTTTAGCAGATGTTGGAGGGCATAGTATACTTTATTTCTAGATTGTATTCAAGATTGCATTTCTTCTCTCAGCATGTTGGAGCAATTGAAGTTTGCACCCAAGCACTTATATGTTTCCGTTTGTTTGATTTTCATATTATCGACTTGGATGTGGCCGGAGTTTATTCTTCTTTCCATGTATAGTTAGTATTCGTACAGAATAGTAAACACTTAAAAACATTTTATGTTTTGCATCATTCAGCCAGTCTGTGATAAATAAGTAGACAGGTTTGTACCATTGAGAAATTTTTTATTTGAAGCTCCACCCTGGCTTTTGCCGCGGGCCGCAATATAGGCAGGCCATAAATATGGCCAAATGTCTGAACGCGGTTGCTGGAACCTCTCCACGGCGATCCTCATCCGCATGGTGGCACTTTGTGTCATCGGGTGTTTATCGCTTGTGTGATGTCCTGGTGGAGTGGAAAGTCAGTCAAGTAAGCAAGTAAGCCAGAGACCTACTTCTGCCCCTGCTCCTGTTGGTTTAAACAGCTCCGCAGCGGGAAGACCAGGAGTTGGACTTTTGCTGTCAGAGGCTGTAAGAGACGCATGCCTTGAGAGTATGCTTGGACACTAAGAGCTTAACCTCAGCCCAAGAGTATTTGGAAGAACCTCAATGAATACAAGCTGCTGATTACCGAGCAACTGTTGAATGGGAAGAGCCTGTTATTTGCTGACATCTTGGTGCATAACATCTGCCTTAGTTGCAGATGGCGATCTATAGATAGAGCAAAACACTATTAATGTCCTTAGCGCTACAGGACAATGTGCGAATTTAGGAAGCCAAGTGTCCACAACGCTGTTAAGAATGCAAGAATTGTGAGGGAAAATAGGCACAGCCTGACACACTGGGTATAGGAGAAGCCCTGTTAACTATTAACTACAGAACACATGCATGTGCCCCTATGGACATGTCCATAGTGCTGCGAAGATAACCCAGAGAAATCAGATGCAGACATGTAAGAAATCCTGAAAAGATGCAGAACCGAACAAAAAGTAGATCAGCAAGCTTCACAATATGACGAACACAAACGGAAAGTGAACGTAGCAGCTACAGAGCCCTCATCAGCACATTACATAAATCAAACATAACCAAATGAAGATACAAAATCCCGTAACTGGCGTATCCCAAAGCAGCCATGTTGATGTCTTGCCAGTAGAATGAAATGACACGTGCAGCCCAAGAATTCTAACAGCAGTAACTCGAGAATTTTAGATGAAACTGTGTTGACAGTTCAGTCCCTTATGTGTTTGTGTACCCAAGTTAAAATAAAGTGATTCTCAAGAGACTTGTGGACTGTTGTTGAAGTGGCTAGGTTTAATAACTGTCACCTCGATGTCATGGACACCTTGGTAATCCTGAGACTTGAAGTGCAACAGTACTGGTTTCAGGACACCATTCTGCACATGCAAGAGATGTTGTCTGAACCTGTCAGCAAAGAATGTACTCAAACTTGGTAGATGACAGCTGGAAGAAGTCACAGCTAAATACCTGGGTGTCTTGGAGATGTGGATGGAGCAAGATAGGAGGGACTGACCTTAAATATTATTCCTAAGATCATGTAAGAAGATGAACATAACCAACTACACTTCAAGGAAAGGCACATAATGATGATGACATGGAACGGTGATAAGGCAGGCAGATAATCATACCATATTCTCATCTCATAACCCTGTATGGTATAAAGCCCTAGCACTTCCACAGAATTGCCTTTACCTTTTTTAATAGATGTAAAGAGCTTACTTACTCATCTGTTACAACCTTGAATCTTTCTTTAGGTTCCATTTTAGAATCATCATCTTGTGACATCGGATATAATCTTCTGCAAGACCTAAAAATAACAGAACCTAAATAAACAAAGATGCTGCCGTACATGGAACTAGTCTAAACTAATATCACAGACAAAGCAATATTTCCCTTTTGTATAACACAAAAATTATACTGCACAATTTATGCCAAACATATTTTACTGCGCCTCAACGGATGCTTATTATATAATATACATCAATACACAATGAAGCAAACTGAACATTCACGACAGACCACAATAAAAAGATCTACAAATCTAGAAGGTAATGACAGAGATTATTAGAATGAACTAGTCAATAATGCAATTGTCTATGGTGAAACCTCACTACAAAATATTCACTGATATATTAATTAGGATATGGCCATTTATGTTGTGGACTGCAGGTGGCCGAATCTGGTCTGCAGATGCTTAGCAAGTGGCCAGCAAATCACTAACAGTTGTACTGTATTATTGATCTGTGTACGCTGGAGCTGAGATCTCTGGCTCATGCTGTCGTTGGACAGGACACACATTTAGGAAATCAGACAACACAACTAGAATGTCCTTACACCGGAATCCACATGGTCAAAGGAATCAAGGCTGACCAAAAACACACACAGAAGAGAATTAGTCAATGAGGTGATAAAAACAGGGAGGACATGGAGTGAGCTGCATGTGTCGGTAAAGGACAGGATGACTTGGCATAAGCTGTGTTAGGGCCTATGCTCCAAGGGAGTAGAGAATAAAGGGAAGAAGAAGGAAAAGAATCATTCAGTCATTTGTAAAGAGTCTATACATTTCCAATCTATTAACTAGGTGGTCTCCATAATAAAGGTTAGCAGCGAAACGTCAACAAACATATTTTTCGCCCTTGATTGACTCTCTCAAATTTTTTTAGTCCATCTCTTGACGTCATCTCACACTTGTATCGCTATCAGTCTCTTGCTCACCCACCTTCAACGTTTCCACTCTGCAGTGTAGAGACTGGGAAGTCTTGATTCTGATGACGAGTCGTCACAAACTGTGCAGGTGGTCAGTTGGAGTATTTCAGTTCCCAACCACACACACACAAACAACAAAAATTTAAGTACATTACTGAGAATTCATACGTATGTCCTCTCACTTAAAAGTCCAGCATTTTAAGCAGTCAGTCATCCGCTCGTCAAACAGTGAAATGAATAACACTTAACAAGACAACACCACAACTTTCACATGTCACACTATTGTCACTTCTGACAGAAAATACCTTTCTGAAGGCAAATACCGCTCATTGTTGTAGCCTCTGTCAGATCTACCACCTCTTGTGTGATTGGCAAATCTAAACAAACAGAATAAATGTTTTCAGACAATGTACCATGTTTAGTTCAACTGAAACAAAACTTTATTTGTACTTCAAACGGTGGTTGAGAGGTTGTGTTGTTTCACAGCCAGGCTTTGTTACTTGTGCCTTTTGGCCAAACACATCCAATGTCAGCAAACCCTTTGCCCTCATTGGTCATCATCTGTGACATGCTTGTTAAGGGGACAGCAGGTTTATTTTCCCCCTCCTCCCCCACCCTACAATATTATTTTCTTTTAGTTTGCACACTTGTAAAAACAGAGACTAAACAAATAAATCTGGAGAAACGAAGAAGGTAAAAATTGTCCAAAACACAAATAAGACGATACTGGACAAAAATATATTATATATTATGTAAGTAGTGTTTATAATTATAAATTAACTACTCTTTGCAGATGACCAATGTTTGTTACAAGAAGAAGAACAAAAACTACAACAGGTTGACTCATTGCTCACTAACTGTACAAAATTTGACATGAAAATAAACACCTCAAAAACTGAAGTAATGACCATAGGAAAGAAACAGTAATGTAAACATAAAGATCAATGACATACAATCAGAACAAGTTCAAGAATTCAAGTACTTAGGATGCATATTTACAGAAGATGGAAGACTCAAAAAAGAGATACAGGCTAGAGTTTAAAAAGCCAATGCAGTCAACTACCAACTGGCCCCACTTCGTCATCCAAAGATCTCGTTACCAGCCAAACAACGGATGATCAACAGCATTTTCATCCCTACGTTATGTTATCAGTGCCAAACGTGGACAATGAACAAATCACATATGCAAAAAATAACTACGTGTGAAATGTGATGTCTCCAAAGAGTCACCAAAAGTACACGAAGAGACAGAGTC